TTTGATTTAGCTCAGAAGATGAATCCATGACCCAAAGGAATTTGCAGAAAGTCGTTTTAAATCAGCATTGCTTCTAAATGAATGTATTTTGTGTCTAGCGACTAATATTGTGAAAGAAAATCTAAGCGTTACAGCATATTCTCTCATTGGCAGGATGGTATCCTAGTAAATTTCAGGGCGAGAATGGCCATGGAATTTGGAATCAGTGATGCTGGGGTTCAGACTCCAGTTTGAACTCTGTGGAGTAGAGTGACACAAGAAAGTTTTCTTTTAGCCAACATGGTTGAGGCCCACACAGTATCTCTCCCACTGTTCCGTCTCTTCCAGCATAACCCTGTTATCTATGCACACCTGCCCTCCTTAGACACCTGTGTGGCTGGAATAGGACCAAATGTCAAGTTTATATATAAAATCCTTTCATCGATGACTGATTCAGCTGTGGGCTCATGAACACTTTGAGGCAACTAGAAATAGGAAGGGTTTGCTGGAGTTTGTGAAGAAAGTTAATTCTTTCCATCCCTGACCTGTTCCAGAAGTGGTTCTGTCCGCTTTGGGCATGTCTCAATTTATGATGTAATCCTTAAAGGGATGGCATTTATCCAACAGCTAGACTTAGGTTGAGATCAATACCCTGAGCTAAGCTGGGTTGAGATACTCATGGGAAAATGAGGCCAGGACCAGAGGATTAGCTGTTCTGTCTCTGCACATAGATCTGTGGACCAAGAATGCCAAAGAGCTCAGGCCACATTAGTGGGGCTTTTGATATTTGTAGCGGAAAGAACTTGAGTCTTTCATGGTTTCTCATCTGTGAAATCAGAAAGCTACCTTGAGATCTTGGGAAAATTCATAGTAACACATGAAAAGCATTATCTAGAGAGCTTGTCATGGCACAAATCTTTAATGCATGATAATAAAGTTTGGATATTGTCTGCCTGCATTCTACAAACTTGCTATTCGTTTTTTTTTACAATTAGCCTTGATTTTTCATTATCCATATTTCCATATCAAATGAGATCAGTAGTATTAACCACCAAAGAACACAGTAGTAGGTGAGCTAAAAATGTTAAAGATCTTTGAGGTCAGCAAAAGACAGAGAATATAATAGTTCAGTGATATTTTATTGGATCTCTCTCTCTCTCTCTCTCTCTCTCTCTCTCTCTTTCTCTCTCTCATACACACACACACACACACACACACACACACACACCTACCTTTAAAAGCACCACAGGGTCTTAATTTTCCACACTAAACACTCATTTTTGAAAAGAACTCTGGAGTATATAATACATTGGATGCTTCAAAATATAAAATACACATAGCAAAACATATAAAATTATAAAACATATAAATTGTTATATAAAATATATAAAGACACATATAAAATATATAATTGGTTCTAACATGATAATGTCTCAAGCTAGAAAATAATATAAAAACTCTGATAAAGAATATGATGGTAAAATAAAAATCCAATGTGATGATGGTAAAGTTCTAAAATTTTAAACATTGCAGTAATATTTTTCAAATAAATACCACCAGTAAGTAGCAATAAAACTGAACAGTATAAAATGCTGCCTCAGCTCACAGCCTTTGGGCATCCATTCTGTACCTGAATCTTGGTTCTGATACTTAAATATCATATGATATTAGGTAAATTTCTTAGCCTCAATTTTCTCACTTGTACAGTGGAAATAATACGGACAATTGTGATGGCACATGCCACTTGAGAAGTGGAGACAAGAGATCAAAAATTCAAGGCTAGTATGAGCTATAAAGCCTGCCTCAAAACAAGCAAAGATATTAGAAGCACAGATTGACCTAAAAATCACCATAAAAAGTGTGTCAGAAAGATAAAAGAAAAAAACAATGCACCACAAAGACTTTAGTTTTAAATAAGATAATACAAGTCGAGTTTTTGTGTAGTTGCCAAGTGGACTGTGGAATGAGCCAGCTGTACCACCTTTGGATGTGTATCATAAGGTCAGCATACCCAATACTCCCCCTTGCACCAACTGGGAAGAGGTAAGGCCCTGATCCCCAGACTGGACAGTCCAGTCTCTAGCCCATTAGGCCCCAGAGGCACATTCCATGCCCCTCCCCCGGGCAGCAGCACCAATTGGGAAGAAGAGCGACCACAGGAGCCACAGGTCTCATCTGCACCAATTGGAAGCAGAGAGGCCCAGAGTGCCACCTGTATAGATTAAAGGAAAAGATGGGTAGATGGCAGTGTAAGAACACATTCAACAACATAAAGAGCAATAGGGCACCACTAGAACCTAATGACTCTACAACAGCTAGATCTGAATATCCCAACGCAGATGATCCAGAAGAAAACAAACTTAAAAACAACTTTGTGAAGATGACAGAGGCCCTAAAAGAGGAAATGAGAAATTCCCTTAAAGAAATGGAGAAAAAGCGTTGCGGATTTAGCTCAGTGGTAGAGCGCTTGCCTAGCAAGCGTAAGGCCCTGGGTTCGATCCTCAGCTCAAAAAAAGAAAAAAGAAAAAGAAAAGAAAGAAAGAAATGGAGAAAAACACAAGCAAAAAATTGGAAGAAATCCCTTAAAGAGAGCCAAGAAATCCCCCAAAAAACAATCAAACAGGTGAAGGAAACAGTTCAAGACTTGAAAATGGAAATAGAGGCAATGAAGAAAACACAAACTGAGGGAATTCGGGAAAAGGAAAATCTGAGTAAACAAACAGTAATTATAGAGGCAAGCATAACCAACAGAATGCAGGAGATCAAAGAGAGAATCTCAGGCATTGAGGATACAATAGAGGAAATAGATTCATCAGTCAAATCAAACGTTAAATCCAGCAAATTTTTAACACAAAACATCTAGGAAGTCTGGGATACCATGAAAAGACCAAACCTAAGAATGACAGGGATAGAAGAAGGAGAAGAATTCCAGCTCAATGGCACAGAAAATATATTCAACAAAATCATAGAAGAAAATTTTCCCAACCTAAAGAAAGACACGCCTATGATGGTACAAGAAGCGTACAGAACACCAAATAGACTGGCCCACAAAAAAAGTCCCCTTGCTACATAATAGGCAAAACACTAAACATACAGAATAAAGAAAGAATGTTAAGAGCAGCAAAGGAAAAATGTCAAGTAACATATAAAGGCAGACCTATCAGAATTACACCCAACTTCCCAATGGAAAGTCTGAAAGCCACAAGGTCCTAGACAGACGTTCTGCAGATACTAAGAGACCACAATGCCAGCCTAGATTACTATACCCAACAAAGCTTTTAATCACCATAGAAGGAGAAAACAAGATATTCCATGACAAAACTAGATTTAAATACTACAAATCCACAAATCCAGCCCTACAGGAAGTACTAGGAGGTCAGCATAACCTAAGGATGCAGGCTCATCCATGCTCATGGCTTCTCTATTTACAATAGGCAGAAAACAGAATTGGCTTAGATGTCCACTAACAATGAATGAGTAAAGAAAAGGTGCTACATATACACAATGGAATCTCATGAGACCATGCAGAAAAATAATGCAAAAAAAAAAAATGTGTGGAGCTGTAAATGATTATTTTTAAACAAATAAGCCTGATCCAGAAAGGCAAATACCATGTTTTCTCTCATACAAAGAAGTTAGATTTAAATCTGTATAGGGATATATATATATATATATATATACATTTACATATATATACATTTATATATATACACAATATATATTTACATGTGTGCGTAGATATAGGTCATGAACAGAGAAAGGGAACCATGAGTGGTGAGAAAGAGACCGTAAAGGGTAGCAGAATGCATGCGTCATGAAAACACAGTGGTGGACTGAGGATGGAAGAGAACCAGCCAGACATGGACTTGGGGGAGGAAGTAGAAAGGAAACCAAAATGCATCCAATTTGTTTGGGCTGGGGAAGCCGCTCAGGGGAGGAGCATTTGTCTAACATGTGCAAGTCCTGAATTTACCCTCCAGCACTGAAAAAAAATTGTGGAGAAAAGGATCTAAAGAGAAACATAGCATGTGTTTCCCATGTTAAAAACAACTTAAAAAAATAAAAGAAAATGAAACTGAAAGAAAAAAATAAACATTGAAGATCCCCTCAGGAATCCGAAGGCTGGTTCTCTGATATGGTCCATTGAGAAGGAAGAAGACACAAGTATTTCCAAGAAGAAAAGGATGGAGGGAATCACAGCAGACAGCACAGCATTAGAGGAAAATGGAAGCTATGAACAACTCTGCAATGCTCAGTTTCGCCACCTACAGTAAGAGGATACGTTCTCTTCAGGGCACGCATTACGCTCTAGAAAATAACAGGCTGAATTGTCCCAGGTCTATTCAAGAAATTGCTTGAGATTAAATCTTCCCTCATGGAAAATTATATCCCAAGTGATTTTTCTGGTAAATTTTACCAAACATACAAATGGCAAAACAATAAACTTACACAAAATCTTTCAGAATAGCAAAACACACACACACACACACACACACACACACACACACACACACACACGGTATATGATTAGTATCCATACTTTCTTATTTAATAACTTATGACATCATACAACAAATAAAATATTGACATAAAAACAGATAAATCAATGGAAGTAGATAGAATCCACAAGTAAATAAGTCTAAATATCCCTTTAGTTAAGTTTACTGGATAAGTTGTAGATATGTGCAAAATATTTTTGATATATGTAAAATACTAACTTTGAACTTTACCTCATACCTTAAATATACATAAAATGTAATTATCTCAAAATGGCCCACAGACCTAAAATAGAAGAACTAAATCCCCTAAACAAAACCAGAAGATCTCAGTCACCTTGGATTTGACAAAGAGTTTGTGATTTCAAACAGAAAGTATGAAAACTCAGCAGATTAGAATTAAGTAAATTTTAAAATTTCATCAGTCAACTAGTTGTTAAAGATGTTAGTCATACACTGACCATGTGACCTAATCATTCCCACACTAGATTTTGCCCCATAGAAATAACAATGCACAGTCAGAGAAACTTGGACACGACTGTTGGTGATAACTTTATTAGTAGCATCCACAACTATTAGACAACAAAATTGTATATAAACAGGTGAGGGTATAAACAGATTGTGGTACATTTACATAACAAGATTCCACCCAGAAAATAAAGAAACGAACTACTGATACACAAATAAAAATCAATCTTCATAGTATCATTTTGAGAAAAAGAGCAAGACAGCACATGATTGTACATAACATGATTTCATTTGTACAAAATTCTAAAAAAATGTAAACAGTCTATATTGTAAAAATGTAAGCTAGTCTATAGAAAAGCAGATCTTAGGAACAAGGGTAGAAACATCAAGCAGTAAGAAGAACCGATTACAAAATGCACAAGGAAACATTGGGGGCGGGAGGGGGATGGATGTGCCTATTGATAGTGGAGATGGCTTCATGAGTATGCACAGGTCAAAACTTTGCAAGTTGTACACTTTCAATATACTCGGTCGGTTATATGTCAGTTGTAGCTATGGCCTTGGCTTTTCTTTTCCCTCTGTACTTGCATACTTGGGGGAAATGGCTTTATAGTCAGACAGGAGAGTTTGGATGCTACCTTTGCTCCTATAATGCAACCTTATGTAAATTACTTACAGTTTTGTGTCTCAGATTCTATTTTTATGTTAGTAAAATACTTTATATGAGAATAAGAATCTATGTATCCATGGCTGTGTGATGACATGTTTTATCCCTAAGCTCACTCCCATTACCCTCTCCTAAGTAGACACATTTCTTGTATTTCACATATGACTTTGATAAATATGCATTAAAGTATATACTTTTAAGTAATGGGATGGCATTGATAAAGTTCATTTCTCCTTTATGCTAAAACTTTAAGACCTATCATTATTATATCTCCCTATAGCAAGTTGCTTCTAACAGCTGTATTATTTTTCACATTATGTAACCACCAAGCTTAACTCATTAATTTCCCAAGATGAAAAATTCTTTGTCTAATTGTCTGTCTCAATATTTGTCTCCTGGAAGTTCTCTGGCACATAAAGCCTAAAGTGAGATGGCTGGGCCATAGGACAGCTATGAGTCATTTAGTAAGTAGAAATATTGCATTTTAATATAATCACATCTGTCATTTGTTAGCTTAGTTACTTAAAATACTTACCCTTGGTCATGTGCAGAAGTGCAACCTTTAACGATGTATTTTTCTTTCTTTTAGCTTTATGCTGTTACTTTGCTATCATCTAATCTATCTGGGGCCTGACTTCTTGTCTCCCATGGTACTGTAGAGGCATACACTTCTTCCCATGTAATGATCTGTGTTCCAAAACTCCCTTTTAAAGAGTTTGACTGTCTGTTGTGACTGGAGAGATGGTTCAGCAGTTAAGACCATTAGCTGCTCTTCCAGGGAACACTGGTTCAATTCCTAGCACCCACATGGCTGCCCACGGTTGTCTCTACCCCCAGTTTCAGGGGATCGGATACTCTCACACAGACATACATGCAGGGAAAACATCAATGCACATAAAATAAATTTAAATAAATTACTTAAAAAGGAGTTTGACTGTCTCCATTACATAAGCAATGCATCTTTATCATTCATCACTTGAATATTTTTATAGAAAGAAGAATGATCCTAGAAGAGCAATGAGCCAGAGTAATAAAAGTCAAGAGGTGTTTTTATCCAGCCTTCAGAACCACACATAAACAAGAAATATTAAACAATCTGGGTTTTTGGATTATGTATAGAGAAGGACTCTTCCTATGTCTATCAGATATAACAGATCCTTGCAATGTTTTCAATGTTTAATAGCAAAATAATTATTTTCATATAATATTATATAAATAAAATATTGTATATGTCACATCAAAACTATACTTCTGCAATAGTTTAAGATCATAGCGTACCTCCTATATGCAATTTTTTAAATTTTCCCAAAGTTTCCTGAAATGATTCAGAATACTTGATAAGTCATTTAACTAGCAAGATTTTTTGTAAGCAAGGAAAAAGGTATAAGCAAAAGTGGATCTGATTTATGGCAATTCAGTATTCTATACAAAGAAAATTCTCAGGGAAAAGAATGCCCTTGATTATCTGTTGAAAGTCCATACGTTTGCTAAGTTTAAATTTACATGTGGTGTGAAATCTTTCATGAAACTCAGGCGCTGTCTTTGTCTTTCTTGAGAGTTAAAAAAAAAAAAAACTATACCTCCATCCACAGAGTCCTTCTCACATGCAGCACTATCAGTGATGAACTGGAATGTGTATTTATTTTCCTTTGGATTTGGTAAGAAATTATTTTGGAATTTTATTGTTCTGTTACATTGTCCAATGATGTTGAACAGGAAACAGAAAATAAAATCAAACAACCTAGTATTTCTCTCAGAACCTTGAAACATGTGGTATCCTAAAATTCCTAACTGAAAGTCTACCATTACCTAGCACTAGTATTCAGACTACCTGTCTTTAATGCCTATAGATAGACTGGAATTTAGTAGCAGAATATCAAATTCAACCCACCTGCCAGCAGTTAAGCAATGCTCACCACACAGAGACTCCTTGACAGTGTTATCATATTGTTAATCTATAAGTCTACAAGGAGTTGATGGTCATTTTTTGTGTGTGTTGATCTTGGTGGAAGCTTGAGATAGTATTATCCACCATTAAGAAACAAAAAGAACTGAGTTTTGTTTTACAAATTATTTAGCTGATACACAGGAATTACCACAATTTACATGCTGGCATATTTTAGAATGTTTTTAGCCATTTTGATTTTGGGAACCAAAGAGCATTATTGGCAGATCATAGGGAACAAAGGGAGAGTATTGATCACCCAGGTAGGAAATACCAAGATGCAAATGAGCCACCCACTCTTGTTAGATGTGGACTCTTCTAAAGAGAGTTTGAGTAACAGCCAGAAGCCCCAAATTACGGCAAAATCACAACTACAGACCCATGTGGAAAGTAGATTCAAAGTAGGAATGTGTTGGAGACACGCAGGTGGCCTACAATGCATCCAGTGCCCAACACAAAACATGAGATTTTATGAACCGTGTATCAGCTTTGGGAACTGCAAACTATTAGTCATAGTTCTTTATGCCCCATGGCAGTGAATTGCTGCAAGTTTCACACTCTGATCACAGCACCAAAAAAAGCTACAAACTCCATCATGTAGCTCTGTGGACTAGGCACCAGAAGAGCTGACTACAGCACTCAGGGAATCTCAGGGACTCCTCTGACTACGGCCTGTGTTCATCCAGGTAGAGTTGTGGGAAAACTTCAAACACAATCCAGTTTGGCAACACAGACATGAAACAAGAAATGGATCAATGATTTGCATGTGGAGAACTCTGTGCTTTTCTACACAGAAGTTTCAAGAATTTTTTTTTCTATTGAATTTTTGTTGAAACAGGGCTATCACCAGGATCATTAATCTCATGTTACCTTGAGAATTTCTGAAATCCACATGTGTGACACTGAAGAGCTATTTTTTATATATATTTAAAATCTCCTGAGTTAAAAGAGCATTTTATATGGGAAAACACTAAGTAAGTTCAGAACTTCCTGACCAGACATAATTTTTGCTAGAACATTTTATAACATCTCTACGTTGTTTATTTAATAATTTAAGTCAGTATAGTATACCACTTTTGTTTATCAATCATGTATTTCTAATACTATCAAAAAGACTTTGTTTCTTCTAGCCATAAAATACTTTGAGAAACATTTTTATTAACTATAAAAAGGACAGTTTTCTGATCTACTTTAAAAAATATTTCTTTGCTAATAGCATGATTGAAACATGACCAATGTTGCTAGGAGATATTTAAAGCTAATTAAATCCATTAGCAGCAGCATAAAAGAGCCTCTATTCACCAGAAGAAGAAAGATAATAAATAAATTTGATTTTATGTAACAAAAAGCCTTTTACCTTTTGAAAAATATTTATATATGAACCTTTGATCAATTTAAAATCTAGTAAGTTTAATTTGCTATAAAAGAACAAAAGAAATGTAAACTTGAAATAACATCACAAATGTCAAATACAAGGTTATATCAGAATGAAGAATTCATGGCACAGTGTTTCCTCAAAAAAAGCATTTGATAAACAACAACATGGCTCAGGTAAGAATTAAAAATGAAATTTATAGTTATCTTGGCATGTGGACCTCATCTTCTATACTCCTATTAGATTTCTTGGAAATATACATGGATAAGCAGGAATGCATGCACATGAATATTTGTCAAATAACTTAATAAATGTGTTATGACTTACATTAAGGGGTGTCACTGGAACATCAGCAAAGAGTGTAAAATGCTCATATTTGTTTACTCAAATTTTACTCTAGACTGATGCTTACAGATGTAATTTCTCATGAAAACATTCGTCTCTCCCTGGAGAAATATGTTCAGTGTTTCCATTCCAAGTCTTCCTCTTGAAGCGACTGGGTCCAAATTACTCCCACTTCACCAGTGTGTGCAAAACCCTTCACCCCACCCACTGTACCCTCTCCCAGTATGGAGTTTGTAGGGCAGCATTCTGCTCTGCCTTCTAGTACACTTGTTTTGATGATCAGAATCAAGGGAACAGCATTCTCTTCCTGTTACATCCCCTCTACCTAGAATCCTTTTAGTTTGCTAAGTAAGACTGGACTATTTTATAGTCTTAATTCTGGAACCATCTCTTCTCTGGACTAGTTACACTGAAACTGATTCCACTAGAACAGACTTAACTGTTCTTGTCTAGGGTCCTTCCAGCACTGTGTTTGTGACAGTCATGATGACAACTGTGGTATCTTATCCATTAATGACATGTACCTGCTTTTCTGCCAGTGGCGATATCTTCATACCCTCCCATAGAGCCTGGCCCCAGGGCTGGACATCAAATAGCTGTTCCACATTTTTAAAAATTGGATGAGTAACTCCACAGACAAGATAATAGTGAGAAGTAGTGAGTATTGTAACTACTTATGTCACTGAGTGGATCCTTTCAGTGCTGGTGGGGGGGGGGTACGGGGAGAAAAGCAGGAAGTTAGTATAAAATGATATAAAATGATAAAGGCAAAGAAAATGTAGACAAAAGGGGCAAGAAAATGCCCCAAATCCAACCAACACCTCAATGCAGCTAACGTCATAAGAGAACTGAATCAAAGACAGGAACAATGCCAAGTAAAAAAGATTTTTTTCTTCCTGAATAATCAACGCTTTCTTGTTGAATGATATATTTTTGTATGTACTCTTTTAGGAGAGAGAGAATAATGGGAAGATATTATTAATAAAGGAAGGGCTGTGAGTAAGAAATCAATGAGTCCTCGTGATTCTCTTCAGGAAGGGTCTTTGGCTCATTTCATTACCACTCTGGTAAAAGTGGAAATGGCTATTACAAATAGTAACAAGGAAACATTCAGTGAGTCCCTGCCTCAAATCAAATTCTATGCCAGGAGGCTTTTAAAAAATGATCTCATTTTACTTGTCTGAGACTGATATCATGATCTCCATTTTCAGAGAAAGTTGAAGGTTGGAACGGGTGGCTAGTGGAGGCTGCAAAGTTAGTGGGGTGCTTTGGTCTAGCCAAGTTGGGGAGCTCTTTTGTAATCCTCCACTCTCTGCACCTTCCTCCTCTAGTGTTTGGCAAAACCACAACTCACCTATCACATCCAGTGAAAACTATTCTCATATTAAGAAACATCAGGGCGTTTCACATTTGCTAAATTGCACTTTGAGGATCCCTTTCATGTGGAGCTGGAGCATCTGGATATATTCTTTGGGCATCTGGTGGAAACCACGCTTAGGTAACTTGTTGTCATAGTAGTGGTGACTGACAGGTGTTTCTTCTACAGTCTTAGAGAAAGGCCAGAATCCATAGAGCTTCACATTTTCACACAATTCTACAGCGACACTTGCGATCATCAAGCCTGAGGACAGGCGGTATGCTGTCACCCCTTTAGTTCTCCAGAAGGTAGCAAGATGTCTCAGGTACATGGGATGGAAGAAGAGAACCTTTTGCCTAACTTTAGACTCTTTGAGAGTTTCGTAGACTTTAAAAGAGATGCCTGTGTTGGCCCTGTAGGAAAAGGCTGGCAGGAGAAGGAAGGCATCTCCATAGTTGGAAATATCCTCCAGAAACCTTGCTTTCTTCTCCTTCAAGTTCTTGTATCTGCCAAATTAAAAAAATCACAATCATAATCATAATATAATAATAATAATAATAATAATAATAATAATAATAATAATAATCAAAGCAATAATTTTGGTTGTGTGATGTTGAATATACATCTGGTCAAAAATGCAACCATTTATATCCATTATATTAAAAAGTCAAACCAATGACTTAGAAACATCAATCAAGTATCAAGTCAATATCAGTACCTGGTCTTCAATCCTTTTTCTTGATCTACAGAGATTATTAGTAGATGGACATTTATTCTATTATTTTATATTACAACCCAGAGACATTATCTAATGTTGCTTTGGCTTTTTAGTACCTTTAAACTTACTTATAACCAAATACCATGGCCTACATATATTTAAAGGTTATAAGCTATGCATCTATTATACATATTTAATCACCAAATAGCTTTGTTTAGAGAGTCTATGCCTGCTTGAAAATATACATGTATATATTCTGTTATAATTTCCTTCCCGATTTGGCCTATCACCCTCTTATGCTTCACATGACACCTCAGGAAGAACTCTTTCAAGTAAAGTTTTTTTTTAACAATTAGCTTTTGGAAGGCAGCTACACTGTTTAGTTTTCACTCAAATTCTAGAACAATTTGAAGAATCTATTCTATTACTAATTGTTAGCACTCTCTCTCTCTCCCTCTTTCTCTCTGTCTCTATTTGTGTTTGTTTTTAGTTTTTCAAGATAGAGTTTCCTGGCTGTCCCAGAACTCACTCTGTAGACCAGGCTGGCCTCAAACTCATAGACATCCACCTGCCTCTGCCTCCCGAACGCTGGGATTAAAGGTGTGTGCCACCACCTCCTGGCTAGCAGTCTCTTTTTGACAAGAAAAAATGGAGCAAAGTATATGTGGAATGTTTATGAACAAATCAACATTCTGCAGCAGTTACATCACAGAAGCCATGGGAAAGTACTCTGAATAACAAACTACAGAAATTGAAAGCCGGCAGTGCTTTGTCCGGCTATGAAGCCTTCCTCCCAAACTTTCATGATCAGTTTTAGCCAAAAAGCTAAAGTACCAAGGGGAAAAGTGTACATAACATGAAGACTCTGAAAGAAAATGGAAGAAACCGTGTCCCCTAGCTTTCAAGTTGAGGCGATAAATTCTCCTTTGATTAGAAACATGTAGCTCGGGACACTAGAAATACAGCTGAGTCATTCTTCGGATGAAACACAGTCTGGATGAGATGTCAGACTCTGCAGATGTGTTCTTTTGTGTGTTTCCCCAGAAGCTGGCTCAGCTGTGCGGCATGTCAGCCTCAGCAGGGGGAGAACTGTGTGAAGGGAAGTGTTCCGAGGAGTTATGCAACTTGCGGGCACTCACTTCAGTGTTATGATGCTGGGATTGACAGTCACAAGATTCGTTTTGCTTCCAACATCTTTACTAGCATTCCCTGTGATTGGGGGGAGGTTGCACCTGGAATAAGGAAAAAAAATATTTTCAAAATACAACCTATAAAAAGCAGATGTACACACACACACACACACACACACACACACACACACACACACACACACACACCACACATCTGATAACTGTTGTAATTGCAGAGGAAACCAATGCTGTTATGAGAACTTCAGATCCACCTGATGGCCACTGGAAAATATCAAGAAGTACTGGACTATAAGACGATGTTTCAACACTGTACAACATTTCATGTGATTTTAACATTTTCATTGGCATTTTTAAGTATCAAAACCAGATATGATAAATTATTTCTTGCCATGCTTCTGAAGGATTTCAAGGCTTTTTATTGAAATTGTGACTTAGATCAACTATACTGATTGATGGTGATTATATTCTCACAATGATCACTACAGACTGAAAGAATCCGAGACACTAAAAATACAGTGATAAAGTATCCCAGAAACAAAGCCTATATAGGAACACTAGTATCTTCTGATATCTAAATGGATACCTGTCACCTAATTAGGTTATTAATGAAGGAAATTTGTAGCAATTTTCATCCTGCTGTCCTAAACCTGGAATACTAATTTTCCATTGGAAAACCATGAAAGATATTAATTTTGGTATATTCTAATCACAGAAAAAAGGGAATATCTCTAAATTTCAGTTAGACCATCTTTTTTAAGGAGAGCAGAGTGTCTAAAAAAGCGCTGTGTACAGCTGACATCATCTGTAATATGGATGGGGCTGCAGGACTCTACTCCATGCCCTATGAAGCACAGTATTAATGAAATATGTACTTCTCACTTTGATATAAAATATACATCAGAAAAATGTACTCATTATAGATAGGAGGCCACAGAATGACCTTCACAGTGGCCTCCTGAAACAAGTCACAGACACACATTCTTTTGAAGAATCCCGAGTGGTTTTGCTGTTATTTGAGATAGGGTCTTACTTTGTAGCCCAGGCTGACTAGAGCTCACTCTGCAGCCCAGGTTGGCCTTAAACTCTCAAAGATCCTTCTGCCTCAGTCTCTCAACTGTTGAGATTACATGCATGAGCTCCCATACCAGGCTTAAAAGTGGTTTCTAACATAACTGGAGACTTCATGGGAAACATCAGGATGCACATTGTGTGTGTGCATCCTTTTATATGCATAGGTGTATAATATGTGAAATATTTATATAAAATGCATACACAGACGTAACAGTATAGATATAGCACACAATATAATATAGTTATGGCCATGTTTGTTCCTTATACACTTAATTTGTAGTTCTCAATGTTTGAAATGAAAACAAATGGGCAACTTATATGTGTGACCAGCAAGCATAGGCAAAGTAAGTACAGACTTAAAAACATAAATACATTTTAACGACACCAACCATATGTAGCCCTAATTTTGCTTCCAGTTTGAATGGGCAACTTCAGAAAAGAGTATGTTCAGAAAAATCCTATCGTCAGCTAAAGTAGAACCTGGAAACCCAGGCCTTGTCTTAAAGTTATCAATCAAATATCTGCTGAGACTTTTTCCTAGACTTTAAGCCTAAACTGTTCTTTCTATGGCTGCTATAAAGCAAATTAATGTTTTTGCATAATACTCACCACAGATGTTTGGGGAATTTTAAGTCTATAAAAAGCCAATTACATGAACCATAATTTGCCTTCATTGTGACTCCCCCACCACACACAAACACTGAGAATATGAACAATGGCTAACCCATTCCAATACTGGCCATGTCAACGTGAAACATAAAAATTATGAAAATTTTTCCGTCATGAATTCAATGAGTGTTCAGTAATTTCTGGACCATCCGATCGACCATTGTGTAATTACCTCCAATATAAATTACCAACATGAGAAGAAAGTGAGGGAGGAGCTATTTTTAACTTCATGTGTAGCTGTTGTTAATATGTAGAACAAGTAGCATCAAATCCATGGGGACCAAAGGGTCTCGATGTACAAAATTGATGCTCTCAGAGAGTAAGGATGCAGACATCTGCTGCTCCCTCTTTTAAGTCACACTACAGCTGGACAAATCAGTGATTATTAGCATGAGGCACACACAGAAACCAACTTTGTGTCTGTTTTCATAAACTACCTTGTATTCAGACAAAACTGCTTTATAAGTCTGGAATTGAGCAGATGCACAATATGAATTAATTTTCAAGCTGGAAAGCAGTGCTGTGTATGACTATAAAATGTCTAGATCAGCATCTTTCCTAGTGTTGCTGAAGAGTAAATGCCCTTGCAATGGTCTGTGAGAAGCAAGATCTTCCAGAACAGAGAAATGCTCCTCCTGGGAGTCTTTCCAAGGGAACCATGATACTCATCCCCAGGCTGAAGGCTCTTATAAACCCTGCAGTCCCAAACCTTTCACAGCATTTTCACAGTTTCTTCTTACATATCCTTATGGTACTGGTGTGACCGAGCTGAGGAACTCATGAGTTCGGTGACCTCCAGGAAAGTGTACCTGGGTAGCCTATAGATGCTAACAATACAATCCCAAAGACAGGCAAAACTTGACACATGTGTTTGTTTCCCTTTAAAACAGTCAAGAGCTCCTTGGTTTTCAAGAAGAAACCATCTTGACAAGACTCACCTAAAAACGAAGTCAGCTTTATCAATTTCTGCTCCACAGAGAGACTTGTTCAGAATTCCCCCATTGCCAACCACTGCACACTGGTTATAGGGGTAGTTCACAAAAGGCTGGGTCTAGTGGGAGAGAGCAGAAACCAATCATGACATATGATTGCTTAAAAATTAGAACCAAGGCTACAATGTGGCTACGGGGAAGAGATCTAATTCCCAGCACCCCCAAGAAAAAAGAAACCACAAGTATCATCAGCTGGATCCCAGAAACTTAACTCTTTATGTGTGGTTAGGAGAAGAAAAAAGAGAAAGAAAAAGAAACAGAAACACTTGGGGGGCGGGGCTTTAAAAAGCAGTACAGGGGCAAGAGGTATGACTCCTTAAATCGGAGTATCGGCTGTGAAAACAAGAAGAACTGAGTCCCAATCCTCAGCTCTCATGTCAAATCCAGAGACAGGTCTGCATCTAGCATGGGGTAGGAGGAGGCAGGGGCATCCTGGGAGCTCCCGTCTGCTGGCCAGCCAATCTAACTGAAACAGTGAGCTCTGAGTTCCCTAAGAGCCTGTCTCAGAACATAAGGTGGACAGCGATTGAGGAAGGCACCCAACTTCTGGTTTCTATGTGTATGAGTGCCCTCAGATAAGTGTGCACATACACTACATATAAACACACACACTATCTAGTTAATTAAATAAACAAATGCATAGCATTATGATCAACTTACTAGAATATAATTTAGAAAACATCATGTAAGTTTGTTTCATTTCTCTTGGGAGGGATAAACACTACATAAAATGTAATAAAACATAAGACTTAAAATAATATTATTGTATATAAACTAATATAATTTTTTTTTTGGTTTCTACAGAGTTTCTCTGTATAACAGCCCTGGCTATCCTGAAACTTGCCCAATGGACCAGGCTGACCTCAAACTCACGGAGATCTGCCTGCATCTACCTCCTGAATGCTGGGATTAAAGGCTTGCGTCACCACCACCCAGTTTAATATAATGTTTCTGTTGAAGCTATTTTACCAAGTAATCCAGGCTGGCTTCAGTATCACTATGAAGCTGAGGGTGGCCTAGGGTGTCTGATCCTCCTGCCCCTACCTTCCATGAACATACCATACCTCTTACTACAGAGAATAATTAAAGAAAAATGGGAAAATCCCATATTGTGTCTTTCCAACAAACAGGAGCAGTTCAGAATTAAAAAGAGAGAAAACAAAGAAGTTAGAAAATAGCATTAAATCTTTTATTTTGATGTGTAGAATTAAAGATAATTCATCAAAACTTTCTTTACTTCACTAATCCTCAGACATGCAGGCTCAGTGAAGTGTTTGGATTTATGCTGGCCAATCCTACAGATGGCCACCAGTATGCTTTGGGGATCCTCTAGAATGGCATTTTTTTTCTCATTTCCTCCCAGGACTTACCCATTTTGTTTACCCTAAAACATTGCCCATTTCCCCCACATCTTCCACATGTAAAATCAAACGTTGTCATTCAATGGTACCTGTTTTCCTTGCTGCTCTAGTTCCCTTGACATAATAAAGTGTCCTAGGCCCTGCACTTACATCTCACAGTGAGGAGGTCTGTTTGTCCCTCACATCGGAATGTACATCCTTGAGAGCAGAGCACACATTTCTTCATTTTTTGTTTCCCCTCATCTCTCACCCCAGAGCTAGAATAACACAGTGCTCATAGTGTGTTTTCTATAAGCACTTGCTGGTCCAGTGCCTCAGCCATCGTACAGTCCCAGTTGCGTGTTAGAGCTGGCTCATTCAACATCACAAAAGATGAGTGGGCAACACTCAGCAGTTCTGTGAGCCGGCAGTTAAATCACCAGGAACACGAAATTGGCCATGATGTTAGTATCTAAACCACAGAGTATGAGAAAGGCTACAACACCAAGGCACCCTTCTCCCCAGAGCCAAGACACTGCCACTGCTGGCAAGATCCTAGGACTGCTGTGGTTCTGAGCTCCTCAGAGTGCTGACAGACCCCTGAGTCAAGATCACAGCCACTTGCTCCTGATATTGCATCTGGGAGATGCCCAACAAGCACATAGAGCTTTCAGTAAGCTTGTCTTTACATTTTAATTGCCACATTACATTTATTGTATGAGAGGCATTGTTCCACATGTACAACTTACTAGCAGATTTAACTCATACAACCCCACTGTGTGAGCATTTTACAGATGGGAAAGTAGAGGAGCAAGCTGAAGCAACAGCTCTACACAGGCAGAACCAGGCTACGACCCAGTTAGGCTGCTCCAAGCCGCTGCCCAGCCCACAGTTTCTTACTAGCCAGTGGATTAACATGTTTATGAGGCAGTTCATGCCCCTCTAGCCAGAAGGTCCCGTATTGTGTCTGGCTTTTAAATGAATGCTTCCCAGATAGTGAAAGCTATTTCTCATCTTCAAAATTCAAGCCCAGGATGACTCCAGAGTTTTTACTCTATGGTTTCTCAATAAATTCTGAATTTTATAGACAGGGTGGAATGCAATAATGCAAATATGCTCTTTATGGCACAATAGAAAAGATTACTAAGGGAAACACATCTCAAATTAAGTCCTCAAAATAATGACTGTTTTCTCCGGTTTCTTGGTCAATTGGGAAGAAACAGCCGTATGTTTGGGGAGCTCGTGTTCAGTAGGAGCTGAAATAAATTACAAACCTCAGTATCCCCTAAAATAAACCAGCATTTAGAGGCAGTATTTCACATTTTTTTTTTGATAGAAGGGTTTTATGACAAGCTGCTCTGCATCCGGTGGTCCTAGGAGCTGTGGGCACAGAGGAACAAGGGAGACCATGTGGACCATGGGAAGGAGGGTAGGAAGGAGGTCCATCCTAGCCATGGAAGGGGACAGTGGAAACAACACAAGGTGACATCATTTTACCCAGGTCACCCAGCAGAATTTCTTGTTTGCCAACTAAAAACAAACAACAACAAAAAAATCAGGATAATGCGAAATGAGTTCAGTTGTTAATATACAGACTTATCAACTTTTATTGTCTTCTTTTCAGGATGCGGTGTGAAAGGCATACACAGTGGCATCTCTGAACTGGGTGGCAGAAAGCAAAGTAAATGCCTGCAAAATGTGCCTGGATGGAGAGATGCTGCTTACACGACTCTCCCAGGCTTCCCACGAACAGAGAAACACCTAGGTACTAGCATGATTTCATTTACTGTTAGTTTCAATAGCATCATAGAAATGTTTTATAAGGATCTTGTTTTTGCTTTGGATTTTTTTTTTTGTCTGTTTTTGTGGTTAGGGGATGAATTTCAGAACCTTGCATCTATTGTGCAAGAGTTCTGCTACTAAGCTATATGGAGCTCCACTTCTTGGTGTTTGGAGATAGTCTCATTTTGTAGCCCAGGCTGTCCTCAAACTCAGGATCATCTTGCCAACGCCTCCCAAGTACAAGAATTACATGCATAAACTACCAAATTTAACTAAGATTTTTTTGTAAACTTTTTTGTTTGTTTGTTTGTTTGTTTTTGTTTTTCCGAGACAGGGTTTCTCTGTGTCGTTTTGGTGCCTGTCCTGAATCTTGCTCTGTAGACCAGGCTGGCCTCGAACTCACAGAGATCCGCCTGGCTCTGCCTCCCAGTGCTGGGATTAAAGGCGTGTGCCACCACCCGGCCATAAACTTTCTTGAGGTTCGCATATTTAGAACAAACTGCATTCTTTTGTTAATCATTTAAAAACATCAGATTTGTCTTTATTTGAAAATATTTTCTGTTTTATGAGACACCTTTCTGTCCTTTTCATCTAGAAAATTTGCCGTATTTTGTCTATCATTTTCTAGTTATTTCTCATTTATTCTCAACAAATTATTCTTTCTCTGAATTGTGACACAAAACTATTGAAATTTTACATGAGCCACAATAAACTAGTTTTGAGAAGTCAAACATCTAACAAAGGGGGAATTAATTATGAAGCCTGTCTACAGATAGCAAGCTGCATAGATGATACAGTGATCCCATCTCATCATATCAATTTGGCCTAACTGATTTTAAATGTCATTTTAAAAAAGACACCTGTGAATTTATGATCATAAGGTATGAAATGTTTCTCATGACAAAAACTCCCTCAATTCTGTACTTATATTAATGAAAATTACATTTTCCCACTGTGCCAAGCAGCAGAGTACATGTCACTTACTCATGTTTATTTACAGACATGTAGTGAGTGTGTATATGCACTGGGAAATGTTCTAGGAGCTTGGAATACAGCAGTGACCACAGCAGACCATAAACTTTGTCTTGTGGATATCACATGAACTGACCATGAACTCCTATGTTGTCACGTCACAAAGGTAAACCACATAAGCCTCTTGTACAAGGATGGCCTTAGCCATCCAAAATGACAACCCAAAGAATCTGATCCTCAGGGAAATGTGGTAGTCACCTCCCCAGCCCCAGTCAATATAGCTCTGAAACACCATGTCTCAGCTCATTCACTTAAGAGTCAGGGGTAGCTGGGTAGGGCTGAAAGAACTTGTCATTCATGATATAAACCCTCTTCTTAGGGAGCCACCCTGCATTCAGAATTGCTTCCATAGGGACTCAGGGTGTAGCTCAGTGGTAGAGTCCTTGCCAAGCATGGGCAAAGTCCTGGGTTCAGTCTCAAGGAGATAAAATATAAAATTAAAAGAACTGGCCAGGAGGCAGTGGCGCACACCTTTAATCCCAGCACTCGCGAGGCAAAGCCAGGCAGATCTATGTGAGTTTGAGGCCAGCCTGGTCTACAGAACAAGCTCCAGGACAGGCACCAAAACTACACAGAGAAACCCTGTCTCGAAAAACCAAAATAAATAAATAAATAAATAAATAAACAAACAAATAAATAAATGAACTGAATTCTGCAACAGGCCCACCATTCTACATGAACCATATGCCATAACATTATACGGCAGCTTTAAAATGACTCATTCATTCCTGCAGGTTACAACCTCACAGCATCCTTACTCACCACTGGGAACATGTGGAAAAGGTTCTCTCGAATGGGGATTTGCCTCTTGTTTTCCACCTCATAGCTCATGTTAGTGCCCAGTGGAGTGTTATTCTGGGAAACCACGAAGCTCTGAACTGCGTCACAACAGGAAGCCAGCTTTGCTCTACAAGGGATGAGAAGGGAAGGCAGATGAGGAATACGACGGTGGCCCCAAACATGGCCGTGACAGTGGATGCAGCTAACGCGGATTCGGGCTGTTGCGTTTCACAAGGAAGACAAGCCGGGCACCGACGTGACATCACTCCTCCGCAGCCCTGGGTGGGGGCATGGTGACGGGTGGGGTGCACACCCTCAGGGAGAAGCCCGCTTCACAGAGGTAACAGCTCTGAACACAACAGTTGCAGAGATGAAAAGCTTCCTTGCAGTGAGATTGCCGAGAGAAACAGAGAAATAAGAGACTCCATCCCAGCAGTCCCCTTAACCACTGTCAGGCTTTGGGAGGTTTCAACTGTCCAACAGAAACTCTGCTCCAAGATAGTTTCAAGAGGGCAAGCCCATTTCATACGACTTTAGTACGAAACATTGTTACGGTTGCGTTTTCATTTTTTATTTTTTACATTTTATTTGCATATGTACGGGTGTTCTATTTGCATGTGTGTTTGGACCCCATCTGCATACAGTACTGGCAGAGGCCAGGAGGGGGCATCAGGTCCCCTGGAACTGAAGTTACAGAAGGTTGTGAGTAGCCATGTGGGTACTGAGAATCAAACCTGGGTCCCCGGTAGAGCAGCCAGCACTCTTAAGCACTGGGCCAGCACTCTAGCCCCAGATTTTTGTTTTTTGTTTGTTTGTTTGGTTTTTTTTTTAATTTATTTTAATTTATAGAATGGATAAACAAAATGTTGTTTGTTTTTTTTAACTTTTACTCTTTTCTCATACTTTACATCCCTACCATGGTTTTCTCTCCCTCTACTCCTCCCAGGCCCTCCCCCCTCCTTCTCTCTCCCAGATCAACTCCTCCTCTGTTTCCCTTAAAAAAAAAAAAAAGAGCAGGCCTCCCAGGGATACCAACTGAACATGGCCTAATAAGATACAATAAGACCAGCACAAACCTTCATATCACAGCTGGCTGTGGCAAGCCAGTAAGGGGAAAAGGGTCCCAAGCACAAGCAAAAGGAGTCAGAGACACCCCCATTCCCATTGTGGGGAGCCCCACAAGAACACCAGGTTATACAACCATAAGGTATATGCAGAGGACCTAGCTCAGACCCAGACAGGGTCTGTGATTGTCACTTCTGTCTCTGTGAGCCGCTATGAATCCGGCTTAGTTGATTCTGTGGCCTGTGTTCTCATGGTGTCCTCAACCCCTGTGGCCACTACAATCCTTCCTCCCCATCTTCTTCCGGGTTCTCCTGACTCCACCTAGTGTTAGTTAGGCTGTGGGTCTCTGCATCTGCTCCTGGCAGTTGCTGGATAACACCGTTATGACAATTGTCTAGCCTCATTCTTAACTGTATTTTATCATGAGTTACTATTGTTAATCTCTTACTGTGTCTAACTTATAAACAAAACACATATGTGTACAATACTGTTCATATGTAATATATATAAACAATGTGTCTATACATACATATATACTATGTATATTCAATAAGTACTGTGTATATACCAAATATTCCATGTATATGTACATATATGATATATATTACATATACAATACTATATTATATAGTCTCTATATACATATCTATTATTCATATACTATATATACACACATAACATACATATATATTATTCACGTAGGTATACGATAATATATTTGAGGTCCAGCACTATCTGGGGTTTCAGACAGGCACAGGCTGGGTGGGATCTAAAATGGATCTCTCAAGGATAACAGTTGAAAATATTATACCACTGTTTTATAATAGGCCTGCCTGAGCTCCTCCCAACCCACCCCTGTCCCTTGGGACTTGACCTTGTGGTGAGGACTCAGGGTCCTCCTAGTTCTTTCCCACAGACCCCTTCAGCCCTTTCTTCTAGCCCATCTCCATTCCTTTGTGACTTCCCCACCAACCCACAGAATCACTCTCTAACAAGGTTCCACAGCAGCCACCCTTGGCTGGGACTGAGAGCAGAATACCCACCCATCAAGGTGAAACCAGGTATCTACATCAAGATATACCACAACTCCAGATGCCTAGATCCCAGGCCAGAAACACAAAAATGAACAGCCAAGACAACATGCCTCCCCCAGAAACACACTAGCTAAGAGTGGTGGCCGAGGGTGCAGAGCAGTCCTGCATGGTGGCAGGGGGTCAGCCACAAAGGGATGATGGTGGGCTAGGAAGAATGGCTGAAAGGGGCTGCAGGGAAAATCTAGGGGACCATGAGGCCTACTGTAACAGGCCCTGAGAAAAGCAACTTAGCTGAAACATAAGGTAAGTACGTCAAAATAGCAATTATGAGTATGTTCAAGGACTTTAGAGTGGATATGTATAAAGGCCTTAATGAAGATCAAGAAAACACAGTTGGGGGAGATAATGAAAATAGTACAAGAAATGAAAGTAGAACTTAACAGTTGTTGTGTAATAGTTATAAGAATATGAAAACTAAGTTAAGTAGCATTACAGTCACCTAAGCAATAATGTATAACCATTTATTTGAGAACAATCGAGAGGTATAGGGATTTTTGGGTGGAACAAATTCAAGGTGGCCATTGCTAGTAGAAATCCCAGAAAGATGTCAATTACTATCCAATTTAGAAGTCCTGGTTATTATAACACAGCCCAGTGTCAAAATTTCATAACTTATATGTTGTTTATGCATTTCTTTGGGGATGTAGATGGCAAAGCATTTCTTAATAATTATTCCAGGATTAATCAACCTTAAAGACGGGGGACACTTCTATTTATACAACTAAGCTATCTCCTTGCTGAGATCTGTTTTCTCTGTTCATTTTCTTAGGAACTCTTAAAGTAACTGAACACTGAAATCAAGCAAACCAATTAACCTTTCAACCTTGTGAGCATCTACAGGATTTCCTCTACCTTTTGTATTTCCCGAAGAAATACCCATTTTTCATTACTTCCGTCACCTCATCACTCTTGAAATTGGTCCTTTTTCCATATTACTTATGAAATATGTATGTAGTCGGAACCACACACTGCAGAAAAGGCATGTCTCTACAGTGGGACCTGGCTGTGGTGAGAGTCGTTGTAACTGGTCTCTTCCAGTCCTACATTTTCATTGTTGGGTCTTGGTTCTAAAGGGCACACTTTTAGACACATTCCTACTGAGTTTTGTGCTTTTGAAGTAACACAATGCTCTAATATGTTGTGCTCATTTAAAATTCCCTCCTTCTGAATTCCACTAATTCTCCGAGTATGGAAAGTAAAGGTAATGTCTTTTGTACCCATGGTCAAGGTTTTTCTTTTTTTTTTTTTTTCCATTCTTTTGGTTTTTTGAGACAGGGTTTCTCTGTGTAGCTTTGCGCCTGTCCTGGAACTTACTTTGTAGGCCAAGCTGGCTTCGAACTCACAGAGATCTGCCTACCTCTGTCTCCCGAGGGCTGGGATTAAAGGCGGGCACAACCACCGCCCGGCGGCGGTCAAGGCTTTTCTACAACACTCATCTGGTAACCTGCTTCATAAAAATGCTATACTCTTCTTAGTTGATTTCTGTTAGCTGCTTATTATTTTCTGTCCCTTAGGATCTAACATTTCTAGAAGATAGTTCACCGAGATAACCAAACCAAACAAGACAATGAAAACAAGGGAAATAAAAATACTAAGTAGTTTTTGATTCCTTTGTCACTCTGCAAACTCAAAACTTCATATGTACTTAAAACTTTAAATGTCTCCTTAATCCACTATCCTAAGAAAGGGCAATATAATAAATTCTCATTTACTTTCGACAAGGAACTTATTAAAGAATTCAGTGCTTACAAGAATACTACAAAACCACAGATGTTAGTCAGAATTCCCCATTAGTGATTTTTTTTATATTAATAGGTATTTCTGTAATTATACTATTTAAGTGTATTATAATAACATTTTTAAACTTAGAGGAAAGTTGGAAGTTGAAAAATGAGTACCCACCAGCTAGAGTCTACAATTAACTCTTTACTAAACATACACTATTGTATCTCTGTCTGTCCATTTTGACTGTTGTAGCTGTTTCCATCAATCTAAACTGCAGGTCTTATTATGATTCAACTTTCAACACCTTCCAACTCCAGCGGTGTGGTGGTTTGAATAGGAATGGCCACCATAGACTCATGTGTTTGAATGCTTGGCCCATAGGGAGTGGCACTATTGGGAAGTGTGGCCTTGTTGGAGTAGCTATGGCCTTGTTTGAGGAAGTGTGTCACTGTGGAGGCAGGGTTTGAGGTCTCCTATTCTCGAACTACACCCAGTAAGGCACACAGACTCCTGTTGAATGTTTGACCCATAAGGGGTGGGACTGTTAGGAGGTGTGGCCTTGTTAAAGGAAGTGTGTCACTGTGGAGGTGGGCTTTGAGGTCTCCTATGCTCAAACTACATCCACTGTAGCACACAAACACCTCCTGTTGCCTGTGGATCAAGATGTAGAACTCTCAGCTCCTTCTCTAGTGCCATGTCTGCCTGCATGTCACCATGCTTCCCACCCTGATGATAATGGACTAAACCTCTGAACCTGTAAGCCAGCCTCAATTAAATGTTTTCCTTTATAAGAGTTGCTATGGCCATTGTGTCTTTTCACAGTAATAAAACTCTAAGACAAGTGGCAACCACTTCTGTGGTAATTTTTCACTTTCTACTGGTTCTACTATTAGAGAATACAAACTCTGTATATGCTCTTGTGTAAGATTTCTTCCCACTCAGCAATGTGTGTTTTTCTTCTCCTTTCTGCAGTGGTATTCTGTTTCATGTGTGTACCAAATTTGTTTAGCCATTGATCTTACATTCTTTAGGAAATCACAATAAAAATGATCATCATTAGATGCATGGTGCATGGTAACTTAGTGGTACATTCCTCTAAGCCAAGCAATCAGGAGAATGGAGAGTTCAAAGCCAGCCTGAGTTGCATAGTCAAGCCTTGTTTCAAAACAAAAACAAAACAAAGAAAAAGCCCAGTATAAATATCTAATGATGCAAAATGCTCTCCTAGAAAATACCAACATAA